ACATAATAATAATTTAAAAAATACACAAGTTGTTTTTTTAAGTAAGTCACACCGTCGCGTGCACTAGTTAATGATTAACAAGCGCGCGCGCACGCTCATATTGATTGTACCGCAAAGTGGCTGAAAGGTTGTTGGCGCAGTCTTCCAGTCGTTCATCAATAAGAAGAAACTCCCCCCGTACGCCTGTGTAAAATATCTGCCCAACTTTTGATTGTTTGCGGGAAGTAAGCGGGACGCAGAGACTACTCACCGATGCGTCTGAGCGAGCAGTTTCCACGTGCAGTCAACAAATCCTTGGGTTAAATGTCTCCAGCTGTCACACTTCACCTACTTTTAAGCAGCTTCTTCCCTGTTGTTAGCCTTCCTCTCAAAATAAAAGAGAGCATTTCGAGGTTAACATCGCGTCGACTTCACTTCTGCGATAGTTGCTGGTTTCTGAGCCGCGAGAGGAGAGTTTTTTTTCCCCTGCTGTCGGTTTTGGAGAGCCAGTCTGTCTGACCGTGGCTCTCTCTTTCTCTCTGTGTGTGAGTGTGTATGGATGGGAGACCAGTAGCAGGTTCCCAGACACACAAACCAAACCCACCCGCCCGCCAATCACGTACAGTATCACACCACCACGTCGTGAGCTCCTCGAGTCTGTACGCTTCGCGAGACGGAGAAAATTCCCAGGCTGAATGGAGGCGGTGGCTGGATGTTTATTGCCCCTTGAAAAGTCATAATATGTATAATATTCGAACACAAAAGTGAAAGCAAAAGGATACGTCATAGAAATGTGTCAAACTATGATCATTCGGTACAATAAACACTTACCAGGATTAACCTTGACCCTAATTCTAAGGTGAGATTAAACTAAAATTAAGTTAAAATCAAGTTAATCTGTAGTTAGTCAATTTGTTGTAGACACCTATTCAATTCAGTTCAATTATATTTATATGGCATTCACAACAACAGGAAGTGCTCTATGTTGCAAGGTAAAGCCCCCACAATATTAGAAAGAAAGCCCAAAAAACACACAATCCCCTGTGAGCAAGCACTTGGCAACAGTGGGAAGCAAAAACTCCCTTTTAACAGGAAGAAACCTCTGGCAGGACCAGGCTCAAAGAAGGAGAGCCATCTGCTGCAACCAGGTGGGGTTGAGGGGAAAGAGAAGAGGGTAAAAAGAGACAAAAGGTAAGCTAGAGGAGAGAGAGCTTCTGAAGTTGGTGGCCCGGGTCAAAATTGTCTTGAAGGAATGAAACACTAATAGTTTATAGGGGTTAAAAAAAACAGAAAGTAGCTTCTCTTCAGTGATTTGGACTTCCCCAAGTTGCAACTTTAAATAAATATGACACTACCAAGGTTGCTGAACTCATAAAATAGAGCTTTCTGGCTTCTGAGGATATTGTGAGTGTAGTGGTGGAGAAATTATATATATTGTTTTTTGTTTTTTTCTGTCTCAAACACTGAAGAAGACTGATTATCATATTTAGCCTACAAAATATCTTCTACAACTAATTTAGCCTGGTCTTAGCCTGGACAGGATTACAGTGCCTGGTGAGGTTAACCTCACAGTCCCTCTGATGATATACTGTTAGTTATGACACCAATAGGTTTTATTGCATAGTCTGTATGACTCAGACTTTAAGTACAGTATGTGATATCTCCCTGTAAGAGTTCATGGACAGTAACTGTTCAAGAAGTCTTATAAAGGAAGTTCTCTTTAAAAAAAGAAAAGAAAAGAAAGAAAAACTAGCTTATCCACCTTTACATATTTGTTTGGACATGTCTCCCCTCCTGAAACAGGTTACTAGAGTTCTTATAGCGTCACCTCATGAGAAAACAACAGCATATAATGGTGTTATACAACGACTCTCATCACGCTGCCTGTGGCGCAGACATTACAGACTTGTGGTTATACGGCAGTTTCCCACATTATGACTGCTAACTAGGGCATTTCCCAAGATCATCTAAAAAAGAAGCTCAAGTTCTTTGAATTAGTCGTTTAGACAGGCCTACTCTACCTGAACACTTTCCAATAACGCCCCGCTGGACGTGTGGGAGGTGTCAGTGTTCAGGACCATCATCTTTTGTTTTTCTACAACCTTGCCAACAGAAATCTGCTCCATGGGAATTCACAAACACACACACACACACAAACAGTGGATGATTTTGTCTGGTTGTGAGTCATCCGTGTTCCCCACAGAGCCCTAATTCCTCTCCTGATAGATCTGGCTTCTTTTATACGCTCTGTCTTCATTTTGAAGAAACTTGGAAACCTCTGCTTCATCTGAGATAGCTCATATTTTATGTGCTTCTGTTTTTTTGCCTCCGGGGATTTGATCGTTAACATGTTGCGGAGGGAGCTGTTGAGCGGTTAAGCTATCCTTACTTGCCACGATAAACAGAGGACCCGCTGTACTGTAGCAGATGTCCTTAGGTCAGCTTTATGAGATGAAATGCATGATAAGAAAACCACTTGTGGCTGGAAAAACAGCAACGCTGTAATCAGAAATTCACGTTTCTGTTTTGTCCAGGAAAAAATCATTGAAAACAACTTGCAGGAGTTTGCCTGGCTGTACATTCTGGAGCCTGAGGAATCTACTACAACATGCTATTTTTGGAAATATAAGGCTAACTGTATTTATGGCAGATTTCAATCGGTTTTTCATTCAAGAATGCAACTTATTTATCATTCCACTGACAACAGGTACAGCTGATAGTCAGATTACTCTGCTTCATGCAGAAACAGAGGACATTTTCACTTGGCAAACAGCACAGCAGTAATTAAATATAAACGTTCCCAAAACTTCCTTGGGATCGTATTACTGTTTGTATGGCTTTGTTATTCCTTGCAGCACGTAGCTTAGCAATCTGGCACAACATGTAGTTCATTTCAGGAATGTGGAATTTGAAAAAAAAAACCCTCTTGATCCTATGAGACTACCTGAGGCTACCTTGTGACCATCCACTCTGTTACAGAGACCCTTCTGTTGAGTATAAATTGTGATCTGAAAGGGGAATACTTGACTCCTGTGGCTGTGAGGCCTCTGGGACGAATACAAGAAGGTACTTTGACACTGCCCTGCACACACTCTGTGTTCTCCTACATGAGTAAACACTTTTTACTGTAATGACTCCCTTTTTCCAGGTAGAGGAAAAAGCAGAAAGTGGCCAAAGGGCAAGAAACTGATCCACACACACACACATATGAGAACACACACACACACACAAGCTGAGAGGGTGAGATGGGCATTAGCAGGCATTAGTTTCCTGCTTTTGAGTTTGGGATTTGGGGCACTTGAGTCTCTCCAGGGAAAGCCTGGTCAGTGAATTTCTCTGATGAAAGAGGCAAAGCACTGAACCACGACAAGGTTTCAATAAAAGCCTCAAGACTGATTGCCCAACGAAAATGTCGAAACCTTGGCTATGCTCATTGCTCAATTCGATGCTGAGGTTAACTTTTGGATGCATGACACACCACAGAGACTGACACATCCTCCAGGTTCCCCTTGTGTGGTTTGAAGTTTCCAAGACACGTTAGAGGAGTGGAATCTTTGCATAGGGAAGGCTGTTGGAAAAAGAACAAAACAAACTACAGCCATTCACTGAAAAACAGACTCTATCAGCAAAGAGATATAACATTAGTAAGGTCTGTTGCAAATATGCAGAATTGTTAACTGTTTCACTCTTTAGAGGAACAATTTTCAATCATTAATGAGGCACTCATTCTGTTTTATCAAGGTGGTTACAAGACAGCAGTCAATAATTGTAAAATCTATACTTTTTGTAATTTCTGACACTTAGTTTTATGAGTAAAACATTATGATAAAACACAAGAAGCACAAAATGCATCTATTTTTTTTTTACATTGCTTCCTCAAAACTGTTTTACTGTCATACTGAGTGATATTCAAACCACTGTTGAAACCCTCTTTTCAGCTGCACCATTATATCAAGTAGACATTTAGATGTGTTGTGCATCATTTTATGCTCATTGTTAGCACAGAGGAATGTATTTCCTCATAGCCAGGAACATTATACAATTCCAAGCTACTGTCAGGGCTCTCCTGCACTTATTCTCCTTTGGCTCCATCACTACCCCCCAACCCCCTCTTTCCCTCCCGCCAAAATCCTGGAAAAGATAAACACGCTTTCAGCCTGCGACTTCACTCGTGAGATCAGGGAGAAGGAGGTTCCTCAGTCCCATGTGGCGAGCAGGGTAAACACAGGGATCTGACTACAGAAGGAATGGAATGATGCGAGGGACCCTTTGCTCCAACCACCGCTTCTGCTTCTCATCTCCCCACACCATGGCCAGATGGCCGCCATCTCCCTTCTTCCCTCTTTCACTCCTGCTAAATCAAACACCGAATTCATGTGGTTTGGAGCTTACTCTGCACAGTGTGAAGTATGAAACACACACACTCATCAGACACTGGTTACAGAGCTGCATGGGAGCTCACTCGGGAGAAAAACATGTCTTATTGTGGCCGCATACATTACTTCAGCAAGTGTGCACAGCGTGTGAGCTGTGGCGTGCATTGATTTTTCCATGTATGGCTTTGTGTTCCAAGACAGCGTATGTTTTATACTCTTCCATCAGTTGTTTTGTAGTTCTTCCTGAATCTTGGCTCATCCAGAGCTGAGGACTACGGTTATGAAAAGGGTGTGTCTGAAACTCCTCGTTTAGGTTTCGCTTATGCACACGTAGCCCAGCTAATCACATTTGAAAGAGAAGCATCTGACCTGTGTTGTTTTTAAGGTACTTTCTAACATTATCATTTGCATTTTCCACTTGAATCTCGCAATTAAGTTTTTTTGCACGAGTGAGTTTTAGTTAAAACCCTCTGGTAATCAGAACCAGTTCTAATACACCTGGAGTAAACAAGCTGCTTGGCTGCGTGCACAGTTGTGCTCAGTGTAGCATGAAGACACAAACAAGCACCTCTGTGTTGATGGTTATTACACAGTTTCTAAGACTTTATCCTTTTACAGTGAGGCATTTTAGGACATTGCCTGTCCAAAGGCTTTATATGATTTGCTCATTCATTTGTTTATTTTGATTGCAGGACTTATCCATATGATCTTTCAGCCACTGCTGGAACATAAGGACCCGTCACTTCTTAAAAATGATCTCACCAGCTAATCATATAACCGCTCACACTGACATAATTCTTGACAACAGTTTTGCTGAATTTTGGGACCAACACAGGACCGACACTTTAATTAGATTTGCAGAAGATATTAACCATCAATCATGTTAATGCCCAGCCAACCGCAAGTAATGACTTTCATGCTCTGATCAATCAGCGCGGCTTTGTCTCTTTATTAAAAATGCCAAATATATTTGCTTTGAATCTCTGTTTTGAATTCTGCATTCCTAATAAAATGCTGGTTTTTGAATCAGTGACGCAGGTTGGTGTGGAAAAAAAGTCTAATTAAATCAAGACCCAGCTTATGAGGGAAAGGCAAACTTTGCACTTGTTAAAAAAAAAATGAAAGAAAATGTTCAAGAATAACAACAAATTACTTTACAGTCTTATAGTTATAACAGAGGGTTTTTTTCAGTGTCACACTGTTGCTTGAATTTGTCCCAA